ACTTAAGTAATTTATAGAGTTAAAGTCTCAGATGCACCCTTGGTCATCATCAACAATTTACGCTATTTGTACTGTATTTCTTCGTTCATGTGCGGGTAAAGTTTAGTTTCGTCGAACCTGAATATAATTAATATAAAACTAGAAATTTTAACTGCTAAATAAGGGATAAATTTATATAAAATATCAAATAACCATCTCCATAAACTAGACAAAAGAAAGTAATAGTTAAGTTTTATTTATAGTTAAGCACAAAGCTATACAGTGGGTTATCTGTGTATCAAAACCCGATTTTTAGCGTTATAAGTCTTCCAAGTTACCATAGAGGACTAGTGGTTAAATGATAATTATATATTTTTTTTTAAATGAAGGGGGGGGGTAATAAATTAAGGTCAAGGAATATTTATTTATAACATTTAATAATCATACTGAACTCATAATAAAGAAATGTCATTCTGTACGACAGTAAAAATGATAGTATTATTATATGATGGTTTCTCATAATGTAATCATAAATTAGAAATGTGAATTTGCGAGTCAGTTGTTCTCAGAAATTCCTCGTGGCGGCAATAGTTGAAACAACTGTTTGAACAAAACACCTTTGTAATTTGGATAGATATAAAAACATTAAAGGAAACACCATATTCAGTATGTTGATGAGTCAATATTATATTTACACATTCACTTAAAGGAGTTTTATCAATTTGTAATTGAACTTAAGTATCTAACTAACATTTTCATTGCTTAAGTAAGTTCACATATCAAAACATACTAAGAGATTATTCGAATTTAACTTCATAAGCCAAACTGGTTAAATTAAGGAAATTTACAAAGTTGTATTTCTGATAAATTAAGTCAGAATAATTTATTTTAATGTGTGAATGTCTTCTTTATAAATCGCACGTATTATATTAAGATATATTTCTATCCCTATGTGAATGTATATCTTGCAGGGTAATTGCTCCTAAGAACTTGATAACACACCGTAGTCTACTGTATATAGGTCACAAAATAACAGTGTTATAGGTCTTTAACATAATTCTGTTGAGAGCAGATCACGTGAGAAAAATGATTGTGCAACTGCGTGTTAGTTCTAATTTACGTTTAACATAATTTCCTCCTCCGAATATTTATAACAATTTAAATATTGTAATTAATCAGTTAAGCATAATTAAAGGCTGAAAATTATATTTTTTTTCAGAAAAAACCTTTGATCGAATCAATAAACAAATGAATGAATCAGATATAACGTTATAAATATTATAGAAAATGAAGACAAAATCACCTTAAACGAGTAATAATGACTTATATGTCAAGAATTTATATTGGATAAGACAGAAGCAACTTGTGAATGTTTATCATATTTGTTTCGCAAAATATTTTCAATTGGTTTGTTTATTTAATTGTTTCTCCAATAAGAAAAGGTAATGTTCGATTTTGTTTTAAAACGTTACCTCTAGATGGGTCTTATGTTTCTATCATCATTTTTATGCCAAAAATGAGCAATAAATGTACAGGTAGAATAATACCTTTTTGTGCAAATAAATTATCATAATTGTTTGTTTGTTTTTGTAATTAAGCTCAAAGCTACACAATGGGCTATTTGTGCTCTGACCACCATGGGTATCGAAACCCGGATTCTAGCGTTGTAAGTCCACAAAAATACGGCTGTGCTACTAGGGGGCATTATCAAAATACACTTAAAACTCAAAACGTTTCGCATACTTTTTATTATTTTTACATTGTTTTCCAAACTAAGTTTATAGACATTATAAATACACTATGTTAACAAAAGTACTAGAACAAAACATCTTGAGAAATGGGTATTGTGTTTTGCCCCTATAATTCCATTATACAGGGAATGGATCATACCTCTGACGCTAATCGCAGCCTCGACCCTGTCACTAATGTTCATCACTAAACGTTCGTTCATATTACATGGAATAGAAGTCCACTTCTCTTGCAATAAGCTTTCAAGGGTTCCACTTCTTCTGCCTCTCATGGGCTGCAGAATATAGATTCTGTACGTTTTATGGTTCATATCACTGGCAAACACGACATGACAATGGAATGACACGTTGTCATGCCTAAAGAAGTGATCCTTCTCACATTAAATTCCAACTGTTCAGAGAGTTAAGCATGGTAACAAGACTCCATCTGGATGATAGTAGTAACAAGACTCCAACTGGCTGATCGTAGTAACAATACTTTAACTGGCTGATTGTGGTAACAAGACTCTAACTAGTTGATTGTGATAACAAGACTCCAACTGGCTGATCGTGGTAACAAGACTTCAACTGGCTGATCGTAGTAACAATACTTTAACTGGCTGATCGTGGTAACAAGATTTCGACTGGCTGATCGTAGTAACAATACTTTAACTGGCTGATTGTGGTAACAAGACTCTAACTAGTTGATCGTGATAACAAGACTCCAACGGGCTGATGGTGGTAACAAGACTTCAACTGGCTGATCGTAGTAACAATACTTTAACTGGCTGATTGTGGTAACAAGATTCTAACTAGTTGATCGTCATAACAAGACTCCAACTGGCTGATCATGGTAACAAGACTCCAACTGAATGATTTGGCAGTTTTTCATCTTTGTAAACTTATGCTGCAGAGTATCATTGATTTATTTCCGGATTTCTTAGGGACGAGTTCAATGCTAACTGACAAGTGATATCCTAATACTTTTGATACTGAAGTATTTATAACCATTGCTTTGGTGTACACGTTAGTTTATCTAATTGTACAAGACTGTTTTCAATTGAATAATTAAATTTTTGAAGTTGCAACTATATTACTCATTAATTTCTGATTCAATTATTAAAATATAAAAGTTCTACTGTTGTTAGATTGAGTAATTTATAACCAATAGTTTTCTACAAGGAATTAAATTATGAGTATCTCTGAAAACTACTTAAAACCTTTTTGGTTAAAGTATTAAGGTGTGAATTTATAAAATATTCAACATCAGTAGTTTATTTTAGTACAAAATCTATAAAATAATAAACATCAGTAGTTTATTTAAGCACAAAATGTATAAATATTATACAAAAGTAGTTTATTTAAGTACAAACTTTTCATTTTGTTGAAAGAGTTTATCAACTGTTTTGACTGTAGTATTAAATTAAATTTTCTTGAATAAAAATATTTATAAAAATTGTATGTTAAGAACTGCAAAAATTATAGCATTAATCCTTCTTTTCAGATATCACATTATATTATTATAATTGAAGTCACACACAGATTTTTGACTGTGCTATCACATTATGAATGTTTATTTTTTGCTCAACCATTGTTTAAGTTAAACACTGTTAGATCATAAACTTGTTTATTTTACAGTTCGCATTGTAAACCGAATGATAAAAATAGACGCAGTTTTTAACTGGAGAACATTAAATAATAAACGTTTAGCGAATGTTGCGCAATAATTTCGCATATAGGTGTTGAAATGACGTTATTTGTTAACAGGTTAAGCAACAATTTCCGATATTGGTGTTTTAACATGCTGCAAAACAGTGTTTGATATAGGTGTTAAAATTACGATATTTGGTAACATGTTAAAAATAGTTTCTGATATAGGTGTTGGAATGATGATATTTGTTAACACATTACAAAACAGTGTCTGGTTTTAATGTTTGAATTGCAATATATATATTTACATGTTACCTTAAACCAGGCGTTGCATTGTTTGTTTGTTTTTGAATTTCGCGCAAAGCTACACGAGGGCTATCTGCGCTAGCTGTCCCTAATTTAGCAGTGTAAGACTAGAGGGAAGGCAGCTAGTCATCACCACCCACCGCCAACTCTTGGGTACTCTTTTACCAACGAATAGTGGGATTGACCGTCACGTTATAACGCCCCCACGGCTGAAAGGGCGAGCATGTTTGGTGTGACAGGGATTCGAACCCACGGCCCTCAGATTGCGAGTCGAGTGCCTTAACCACCTGGCCATGCCGGCCAGGC